GGACTTAGTTACGGTATTCACAATCCGAATGAATCAGTACGTCACTTCATCTGTAAGTGAGGATAATAATCCCTCCTTTATCAGCTCTCACAGTTTTGTTGCAAGTGAATTTTATGCATATGAGCTCTTTATAGACTTTACAGACAATTGTAGGAAACTGTTATTTCTTTATGATAGACATGAATGTAAGCTATGGTTTTTTGACCTCTTAGAGTTTATATATTATGTTTACAAAAAGCAAGTTAACAAGAAAAACCCTCACAAAAAATACCAAAAAAAATTTGCAAAGCTGTTTGTAACAACTCATCACAAATCATTTTGGGTATACATCAAGTATGGGGGTTTAAAATGAACCAAAGGGATGGGTTTAATCAGGTTATGTTTAGTGTTTTTAAAAAATGACATATTATGAATTATTCTATTCATTTATTCCCACTTTTTATTATGAAAATATTTAAGCATGTACCTAGGCTTAATAATTGTTAACATTTAACCACATTTACTTTATCTGTATATGATTATATTTTTTCCTGAATATTTGGAGGTAAATGCCATTTCACCCCTAAATATCCAGTATGCATCTCCTAACAAAAAGGATGTTTATTCACATAACCATAATACCATTGTCACATCTAAGAAAGTTAACAGTAGTAATTACCTAATATTATTTTATAACCAGCTAAAATTCAGATTTCCTCAATTTCCCCAAAAACCTTTTTTTTGCTGTTTTCTCAGAATCAGAATCCACACATTACATTTACACACACACTACATTTATTAGTTGTCCTTTTAGTCTTTTTCACCTGAGAACAATCTCTCCACCTTCCCCCCCCTCCGCTCTGTGACATTGGCTCTTTGAAGATAACAGGCCAAGAATAGTTTTGATTGGGTTGAAGAATATTTTGGATTTGTGTACTTCCCCCCGCCCTTCAGGGGACTGCTTATTCCTCTGTCCCTGCATTTCCTGAAAACTGGACTGTTTGTCTAAAAGCTTGATTAAGGGGCGCCTGGGTGGCTCAGTTGGTTGTGCGGCTGCCTTTGGCTCGGGTCATGATCCTGGGGTCCTGGGATCAAGCCCTGCATCGGGCTCCCTGCTCGGTGGGGAGCCTGCTTCTCCTTCTCCCTCTAATGCTTCCCCTGCTTGTGCTCTCTCACTCTCTCTGTCAAATAAATAGATAAAGTCTTTTAAAAAAATAAATAAAAATAAAAGCTTGATTCGATTCAGGTATACATTTTAGATGAGAGTACTTTATTATGATGTATTATACTCCATATTGCATCACACTGAGAGACACATAATGCCAGGCTATTTTATTAGTAGTAATATTAAGCTAAGTAGTCTGGTTGCAGTGATTACCACCAGATAAATCCACTGCAAAGGTACATCTTCCTCTTTGTAGTTATTAAAGGATAAAAATTGAGTATCTCCAGAATAACCTTTCTCTTAAGAGTTTTTAGCATCCATTAATGAGTATCCTGGGCTCCTTTATTTGGTATTGCAAAATGGTGGATTTCTAATTCTGTCATCCCTTCTACTGTGAGTCTCTCATAAAGAACTTTTCCTCATCAAATAGGCATGAACTACATTTCCTCCTAAAAAAGCTTAGTGCTTCTGTGCCTTTAATTACTAATTTTCAGAATAAGGGATTTATGTAATAGTCACTTCCAATGGTGGCAACTAAGATTTTTTTTTCCTTTTCTGGTTTTGAGGCTTACTTACGAACTCAGTGACTTTTTTTATAGTTAGATTTTTTTGTTTAAAAAAATCAAAGCAATTTATAACTGCAAAGTGTATATTATTTTTTGCTTGATGAAGCTCAATGTGAAGCCTAAGTCCTAATGGAATGTAGTTTGAGGGGGGAGGGGATAATCAGAAAAATGTTTTTTTAAAGTATACATTATTAAAGATCCTAATCATTTTTTTTTAATTTATGAGATGCTCTTTTCTGAAAGTCTCTGAGTACCTTAACCAGAGTATAACTGAAAACAAGAATGTCAAAAAGGCACATTTAAATTGTTCTCAAAATCAATCAAAAATAATGAGGTGCTGGGAAAAAGTTGTATCCTTGATAATTACATCTATCAGTATCAGAAAACAAAAGAGAACAATCAGGAAATGACAACCCCACTCCCAAGTAGCACATTAAAAAAGGCTAATGAAAAAAAGTCTCTTTCAAAAATTGTACTAAATTAGCATTTCAAGTAAATTGACAACTTAAGCGTTGATAAAGGCCAATCTGGGGCCCAAACAATGGAAGTTCTGTTTCTACTGTTATATGCTTTTAGAAGAAATGATCTCACTTGACTTTTTTGTTGTTGTTGTCTTCTATATAAATGGAAGTAATTGTCCTAAGGGAGGTGACAGTCCTCCTGTACTCCTTAAGGATCAGGACAACCCTGGAGTATTGTGCTTAATTTGGGGTTCTATTTCTTAAAAGGTTGACCTGGAAGAGAGTAACCAGGATGGTGAAAATTGTTCAAAGCATTTCTTATAGCATCCCTCTATTCTCAGTCTGAAAAAGGGTTAATGTAATTTCTTATTAGACAAGGGATCCAACCTGTTCTTTATTGCTCTAGAGCCTAGAGTTAGAACCAATGACTGAAAGTAGCAGAAAAGCAGATTTGGGTCTAGAATTAGGAAGAAGTCCTTTACAAACTCAGCTGTACAGAGCTGGAGTGGATTTACCTCCAAGGGAATGAGCTCCCCAAAGCCAACCAGCACCGTTCAGAGGTTATAATCCCTTTACTTAAAGATGGTGTATGGGTGTGCAGGGGTCTCTCACATATTTTTAATATTTCTATAATTATAATAAGGATGTTTTAAAGGTCATTTCAAATTACTTTGTAAAAAAAGAAATAGAAGGTAAAAATGAATTTTATATCATGGCTTTAAAAAAGAACACCTTAACACATCCCAATTTACATGTCATTGCTTTGTATTTGGGAAATGTGGGCTGTGTGCGGAGGCAAAGTTCAAACTACAGCATTTTAAGATCATGGTACATTGTTTTTGATGACATAAAATTCTTATTTCATTCAGCCCCCAATTTAGGAGCTTATAAATAAGTGTATGACTTTGTTAGTAAGAATAGAACATAACGTTTTAGACACTGTCTTAAGAGTAGAATTAGTATTTGAATTATCAACAGTGACAAAAGCATTTTCTTTCAATGATAAAAGAAAACTTCCGTACGTAGATCTTCAAATATGTCAGTTCATTTTGAAGGTAGTAGTAAGTGCTGGTATTTTATTATTTTGGCTTGTCAAGTGATTTTATTCTTTATTATTAGACCAGGAGAAAAAAAGTCCTAGTATATTCCACCAACATATTCATCAGTCATCATTTTTGGAGACAGTTTTCGACATATTGTATGTTTTACTGTGCTAACAAGAGAAAAGACTAGCCATTAAGTTTATGTTTCTTTGTTTTTCAGCAAGGTCACATATCAGGAATAATGCTAGAAGTATGCTAATAAACAATATATAATGTAGGTCATCTGGGAGTAAGAAATATTTTCTAACTAGTTCTAAAGGGAAATATTGTTAAAAAAGGGATAGATGTTATTTACACAACACATGTTGCTCTATATGTCACCATCAAAAGCATCTTGTAAACAGCTCAGCGCAGTAAATCTTCCTTGGTGATCGTCAGGGTTTTCAACCCGGTGTTAGATTTAGATTCAGCACACTCAATTCACGACATGCCTAATGTACAAAGCCTGCTAGATTATTTAGAAAGCTTCCATTGGAAACAGGCCTTCTCTTCTGTGTTTTACAAGGAATAACTAGTATCCTGTGTTGCAGAAGCTAATACTATGTTAAGTGATGATAATTAAGAAAATTTTACATTAACAGCATTTATAATTTTAAATGGCTTGTGAAATGATGCTAAATTTTTGTGCTTGACTTTGATGTTGTTGAGTTCTTTAATTAATTAATTGCAATTTACAGACTGATATTTTTTATTGCTTCCATTAGTGAAACAATTTTATATGACTGCGGATGAAATGATAATTCTCGAAGAATGCCTTAACAAAGTGTCATTGATGTGATTTTATAAATGTCATTTTCTCACATTTGGGAGATTTCAAAATGGTTTATTTTGTTTTCCAAGATGGTTTTTAATTGTAAATATCAGGTTTCATCATAAAGGAGTTTATGTAGCTGTGTTCTGGAAAACATAAGCAATGCTTTATTTATTGAGTTCATCTAATATGTACTGAGCAGTGATAAAGATGTGAAGTCATAAAGGCTGCTTTTATCAGATAGCCTAGCCTTTAGAATCAAGAGAACTTATTTCTCTTCTCAGCTCTAGGGCCCTCTGACATCAGGCAAAACTTTCTACTTCCCAGGGCCTCAGTTTCTTTATTTATGATACAAGAATTAATAAATCCTGCTTTCTCCACTTGCCAGGACTGTTATGTAAAATGATAAAATGATGTTAGAATGTTCAGTATGGTATGCTGTCTTTATGGGAGAAAATATGTATTTAAAGGCTCGTATTTAGCAACTTCTGAAACATCTAAATTTTAGACTAAAGCTAAAAATTATAATCACTGAATCTCTTAGCTAGATTCCGCGAATCTTACTGGCCGTTTTACTAAGGGATATCTAGAAGCGACATCACAGACATTTTTGGTCTGGATCTACGAAGACATCAGTTTGTGAAAGTCAGCCATGTGTTACAGAATTTTTTTTAATACTAACTTCTGTTTTTTAGTTTAGGAATCTTTAAAAATATATTATGCTATAATTATGTGCCTCCATTTCTTCCAACTGTTTGTAACTAAAGTATAGCGTTGGGATCAAACCACAAAGTCTTAGTAAGACACTCATGGAACTTTGCCCCAGCAGACCCACAGTAGCTTTAGTTAACAGCACACGTTAAGACCAGCATCTCAAAAAAATGTTGTGAGTAGGGCTGGGTTTTTTTTTTTTTTTAAAGAAAACAATAAAAAGTGCATGCGTCTAAGTAATTCTATTTATACTTGTTTTCTCAGAAGAAGACCTATCAGTGCATCAAGTGTCAGATGGTTTTCTACAATGAATGGGATATTCAGGTTCATGTTGCAAATCACATGATTGGTGAGTGACACTCTAAACCTTACTACAGATAGCTTTTTCTCCTACTTCTGTATATCAATGCCTATATAATTAAACAGAGTTAAAGATGAATTAATTGTTCAGCCATCAATGTTTTACCTAGGCATGATTGATTTTTATTACTATTATTAGGCCTGATAAGACATTAGCACATTTTATTTTCTGCAAGGGCTAGTTTAGACTTCTGCAGAGGATCATATTTCTACTGCCAGTCAAAACACAGGTGATTAACAAATTAAACTTCTAATCATTTTTGCATTATTGAAAACTAACAGGAATGGTTAATGAACTGGATGTTAGCTTTCCATAGAGTTTTAGACAGGTTTTAATTTCAGAAGTTATTATGGTAATGGCACTGCTGTGTGTTGCTTAAGCATCTTTGTATCAAAATCTAAAGTGGTGAGTTTTTGTGATAGGGAAACATAAATAATTTAAATTGCCATAAGATCGTTTTGTATGTATCGTTTCAACAGCCTGGAAATAATCATGATTATAAAGATCATGTAAAGAATTCAGTAATCATTTTTTATTTCCCTGCCAAATTTTACATAGATCTTTATAAAAGCTGTTTGTGTGAAGATTTCTGAAGTCACTCTCGGCCAGTGTTTTCAGGGATTTTGCATTTATCATATGGGCTAGAGCTAAAAGGATAATTTTTTCAGTTATTCATATTGTCCCATTATCCCCTAATTCCTCTGGGGTTAACTCCTATGTTTTTTAATTTGATAAGCACTTAGTAATAACACTAAGAGTTTTACCAGCCAATTAAACTTTATCAAGCAGATCTTTTTCTACTAGTAAAATGACAATTACTTTATGCTATTTTTGTTACTCATTTGTGTTTTTATACTATGAGAGGTTTTTTTTATTTCATCCTCATTTGATGGTATTTTATAATACCATAAATAATTGTGATATAATACTAAAAAGTCCAGTTAACCTTATGGTCTCCTATTACCAAACTCTAAGACAGGAAAGAAAATTCAGCATTTTAGACTCTGAACTTGTTTTCAGGGGTAAACAACTTTTATTACACACTAATCAGAAGCATTCTAAGAATGCTCAGTGGAAGGGTTGCTCCAACTATTATTACTGATCATTAAAAGCAACCATAACAGAACTCCTAATGCTGTTGTAGAAATTAATAAAGATAAATTCAAAAGCGTGTTAGAAAATTGATTAATAGCTTTTCAATAGGATTTGCTTTATAGTTTTCAAATGGTGGGTCTTTAGGAGGATTATTGCTTGTAAAAGACTAAGTACATAATTGTGTGAAGTGGAACTTACACACAACAGCTAAGATATTGATCACTTTATATTTTCCAGATTTAAGTACTAATATTATTAGTGACTTTCTTATACATTCAATATCCTATTCTCCAGTGTGGTAGAATAACAGTGACAGCTTTACTGAGTGTCTAGCAGGTAATGACAACATGTAAGAGAGATTTAAATAATGTGTTTTCTTGCAATTTTCTTCTATTTTGGATTCCAAACAGATATTCTTTATAAACTTTCAAAACTGCTTTTTTTTGGGGGGGTTGGGGTGGCATGGGTTAGAAAGAATGAATTCTTCTGCCATGATAAATGCTAATATTTTCCATCTCTTTATTTCTTGAGTAGAGTTTATTGGTGGCAGTCATTCATGATTCTGCTTCATGATACAGTTTTATGTGGGCTTTGGCAAAAACGTTTCTCGGAATTTGCACCTTATGGAAGATTTAGCAAAATGTTGTAGGCCCTGCTTCTGTATGGTTTTATTCTACATAAACTTATTTTGGGTTCTGGAATTTATTATTTATCCCAGGAACCAGATGGACAGATTTAATATATTTTTCACCATGATATTCATTTTCTTTTGCATATGTCAAATCGGAATTGAATATTGAGCAATGAGGGGACTTTTTTGATTTTCCAATTTTAGTATCATTTGGCCGTGACATTTGTTAGTTTGTCCTGGTCCTTCTTTTCAAATTGCTTTATACCTTTCCTTTTGTAGTTCTCTTACACTCCTTGCAACATTAGTGCATTCCCAGGGCTTTCTCCCTCTACCTTACAGTGGATTAATATGACACTCAGTTCCTCTTGGGATCTGAGCATTTAACAATTCACCTTCCATCAGAGAAGCAAATTCTATTCCTTTCCACAGAGGGCCTAGTTATTTAATATTCATGCTATTTTTAATAATAAAATATGTAATTCTCTTGCACTTGAGGCCTAAACAAATGAATAGCTTCCATTTAATTGTTTTATCTGTTGACCACGCATCCAAGTCCTTAAACTCCAGTCGTGTTGTTAATATCTACAGAAAGAGAATGCATAATGGGAGGATGTCACAAAGGCTAAGGTATCCTTTTTTAAAATCCCAGTGTGATACTTAGTCTTTCAAATGAGGCAGGCAGCATTATTTTGTTGACTAAAATGCCTCCATTGAGGGTAGATATTTTTAGGTTTGTGTGTCTGTGTATGTTTTTTATCTAATCAAAAAATAATCTCAACTAGACATTTAGCAGGGAAGAACGATTAGAGGCTATCTGAAAAGCCTCTTACTCTTTTTGTTAAGAGGGTATATAGTGTTTTTGCAGATTTTGTTCTACATTTCAGTCTGTCTTGAGGAAGGATTATGTCACCTGATGGAGAACGAGGTCTGCAGATGACCCAATGAAGTGTAACTTTAGATTCCTTCTTTAACCAAGTCATTTGCATTTGCTACTCTGTAGCATACATGTTCAATGCAATCACTGTGCCAGACAACCTCCATGCTTCTTTCTGGAAGTGCTGGTCTCAGGCTATTGGCCAGGGACATTTGTGAAAGGAAAACCATCAATGTTTCTACCAGGTACAGACCTGGAGACGCTCTGCTCAAGTGCCGTTTTGCAGCTAGGTGTGGACACATGGTCTGAGTTGCAGGAATAATTACTCAATGAAAATGCATCAGGGATTTGACTTACGTCTATTAAGGAAAGAAAGAAAACCTCACTCTCCACCACATTTTGACACAGTTTCAGTAAGAAATCAGACCAGTGACTATTTAGGGGTTTCTTTTCTTCTTTACACACGCACACAAAAAGAGCTACAAAACATTTTAACAGCTTTCCTGGGGAAAAGATTTCCCTTTTTTTCAAGTCTGCACAGATGAGATTTTTTCTTGTCTTCCTTTGTTCCTTTCACATAGATTACATTGGCTTTTGACCTGAGAATACAGAAAGAAGCCATTGTGGATTATGTCTTTTAATTCATTTTTCCCCATTCTTTATCGGCATAGTAAATATTTATTGTTATTTTCCTCTTTGAGATTTCTGTTATTATTATTATTTAATATGGATTAGCCCAGATAGAGATGAAATCAGGGAATTTAAATGTGTTTAACCCAGCAAAGGAATTGCCTCATATAAAATTATGAGGCTCAACAGCAGTAGAGTAAATCTGTAAATGCTCTGAATAAAAGGGCTGTTAGGCATGTGATAATATAAAGAGATGACATTGCCAAGAACTATTTATGAGAAGCTTAATTTTTTCACTCTGATAATTCTTGACCAATAATTACCAGCCTCTAATTATCTATTTTAGTTAGAAAGAAATTTCGATCACTGCAGAGGTTGGCATTGCAACTAGCGTCTAAATCCCCAAAGAGACAAATGTGTTCCAAACAGCCCCAAACAACTGTCTCATGAAACATAGTGAGCAAATTGCAAGCGGCTGGTGGTAGACAACCAGCAGTACACTCACCATCGAAGGCCAGTCCGCTTGACAAAGAAATGATCAAAGGGGAGAAATACCATTATTCTTGGAATTGATTGCTACACGCATGGACTTTGGAGGACGAAGGGTCAGGATATGGCAATGGGCATTTCCAGGCCTCCCTTTCAAAGTTCTCAGATGGAGAATATGAAGGGAATGGGTCTGAACCATGTACCTAAGAATTATTTTTAAAAACCGACTTAGAAATGATTACTTAATAAGCCTTGGGTTTTTGTATTTTTCTTCTGATCCGAAAGATCAGGGTTACAATGGCAAATTTGTATCTAAGGTGGCGGAACACACTGTTTTGTGAAAAAATGGGAAATCCACAAATAGTCACTAATAGACATGTCCCAGCAGGATCAAGGGTGATGCTTGAGAGCATTTGGAGGAAGCAAATGTATTTATCTTTTAGAAAAGCAAAGCTCGAATTTGGAACTATAAATGACAACTAATAGGAAAACACTGATGGAAAGATACTATTTTTGCTCAAATCTGGAATACTCAGTGTGTCAGAGTTATAATTTTTAAAAGACCACGAAAAGATTCAAGTCTTCTGCGTGCACGTGGGAAGATATATACCCCGTGTGTTACGTTACATGTGATATACATCACTGATGTCAAAACAAAAAAAATGCATAAATCAGTTTTGTACACTGTGGTGAATTTTTTGTCTGTTCTTGTGGCAAGTGACATTCATGTGTTCTGCAATTTGTTTGATGCCCAAGGTCACAAATGACATTCTTTTCCTTCCATTTCTTTAGTGGATGGTGTGCTATGTGACTAATCTTCATTATAGTTTTGTGACATTCAGTATCACTTCTGAAACATTTCAGCTTGAGTGCTCTTGCTTTACAATAGACTAAAACCAATATTTTGAGGTATATAGTGGTTTTGGATTTTATATGTCTTAAGGGGAAATATCCAAAGATAGGGATCTCTGCATAGGAAGATAAAGGGCTGTGTTGCTCTTTTAACTCTCAGCTTTTATTGGCTGTTTTTTTTTTAAAGGAATAGAAATGAATCTACAATAATGCATCTATGTGTGGGTATATATATGTATGTGGGTGTATATATGTGTGTGTGTGTGTGTGTGTGTGTGTGTGTATCTGCACTCTCCTAAGAAACTCAAAGTCATTAGGTTCTTTGGAGTTTGCCTTAATTCTAAATGAGAAGACTATTGAATTCCAAGTCATCATTTGATGGCTTACAAAACTCAGGGAATTAAGAAACAAGCATTT